ATCTGAACACTCACAAGCCAGCTGACAGATGAAGTACCTGCCCCTCAACACCATTCCATCACAGGAAAACATGACTATTTTTCTGTCACTCTGATCCATGCTTATAATGCAACACCTATAAAATCACTATGAATGCTTCAGATGAATGAAGTAAACTCATTAGTACTCATTAATACATGCAATGCCCTCACTGAATACTTGGCTGATTAAGGACCACACGCACCTGGACATGCTTGGCTGAAAGAACTGGGCTTGTTCAGCCTGAAGACACAAAGGCCAAGAGGGATTTTGCTGCTCTCTGTAGCTCGCTCGTGAGAGGGCACAGAGAACAGAGATGCAGGCTCTCCTCAGAAGTGCACGGTGTTTGACAAGGCGGCAATGGGTGCAAGCTGAAACACAGGAAGCTTCAGTTAGCTGTCGGCGTTTTTTCCCTATGGGATTGGTTAAATACCAGAACTGGAGTCCAAAGAGATTGTGGGATCTCTATCTTTAGAGATATTCAAGACAAGACCCTCTGAACAAGGGGGTTGGACTGGAAACCTCCAAAGGTCTCTTCCAACCTGAATTATTCTTTGATTGCAAATTTAAAACCGTAAGATACTTCACTCTACTTCAGGCTAACGGACCTTGAGAGAAGTTAAGCTTTCATGCAGGCAGAAGTCAGTCCTAACAAAGAGCAGTATGATCACCTCACTGCCTGATTCATCACTACTTGACTGTTATATGCTGGTAAACACCTACATTTTTCATTTATTAAATTATTATTTTTTTCTTCTGATCTTAACATGCAGCAGTATCTGTCAAGAAACTCTTAAGACAACTTTCTAGGTGCTCCACTTATCTCCAATATGCTTCACAAAGACTAATTAACAGCCCTTCACACCCATCCTCCCTCTCACCAACAAGGAGGCTGCATAACCCCAACGCCGCTCGCCAACTCATCGCCTTGTGTGGGATTCCAAGTGCGGGGGTGACGCTCCCACAGGGCGGCTCACGCCATAACCCACAAATACAGAAGACTTTCAGCCCTGACACAAGGGGCACAGAAAATCAGGAAGATGGGAAGGGAAAGAAAAAAGCAGCACGTAAGCAACTGCAGTAAGAGCTTGTGATCTGACCTTCCTGCAGCGTCGTTCTGGCTTTGCAAACCCACACAGGTCAGGGCCCATCTCCTCAGGTGGTACCAATTCCCTCTTCTGCTCAGCTGCTCTGCCATGGGAGGCACCTCCAGGAGCTCCACAATGAGTTGCTGCCACGCAACACCTGGGCAAGGCCAGGAGACATTGCTAAAGCACTAAAGCTGTGGCTCCAGCTCCAGCTGCACCTCCCTAGGCCAAAGCACACAGACAAAAAATTACTGGCTCTCCTCTCAGCACAGAACAAAGCAGGGCTCCTGACGCTGCTGAAGCACCAAGACTTGCCTTAAAGTCAGCAGAACAAGTACCAGGAAAAATATCAGCGCTCCATCTCTAAAAACATTAGCTTGATCAAAGGCAAAACTACACAAGACACACAACAGAGAACAACCAATGCCCGAGTTTATTTTAATCACAGACCACTGAAATCAGGGAATAAAAGTTAAGAGTCTCTCCTGCCATCAGCAGAACACCACGAATCCCATTTGTCAGGTCTGTCCCTTGCCGCCAGTCTCTTGGGGGGCTTCCCCGCTTTCTCCCTCCGTGGGCTGACCTTGAGACCCAGTATCTGCCGAGTTTTCCAGAAGCAGTTCCAGGGCTTCCTCACCAGCCACACGTCTCACCTTCTCCCCTTTGGCTGCCAGGATTTCCTCGATATTCCTTAACAGCGATTTGAAAACCAACAGTGACACCACAGCAAAGGTCAGACCTAAGAGTCAAGCACAGGCTTGCTCTTCCACACAGTGAAGGAGCACCACCATGGTATTTCTCCATAAAGTGTTGGGGAAGCAAATAAAACCACTCAAACCTTCTGGGATTATTTTCATTCATTAGGATCAGTAATTTAGCAATTACAGCTAAACTGAGACTTTTAGAAGTATCTAAGGGAGGTAGAAATCATTGAAATTCAGCAACACATGAGTCTACATGGTTGAAACACTTAGCCAGGGAAGCGAGTGGTGATCTAACAAAGGCTGAGGAAGAACAGAAGAACCTCACAGGCAGTAATTCACCTGCTGGCACCGCCAAGGACGCCTGTGTATCACACAGCTTCTGCTGCAGCTTTACACCCTTCATTTGGATCCTAGGTAGTGACTTCAAATTACAGGAGATTATAAAGCTCAGATTGTCTGCTTTAAGAAACCGGATGAAACTGAATTATACTCAGCAAAAACTTTGGCTTTTTCTGAACCACATTTTAATAGCATCCAAGCAATAACATACGGGCGCAGGAGGATCCCGTTATAGCTCCGCAGTCCCTGCCCCTTGCCGGCACACTTACCTCTTCCCTTCCAGGTCTGAAAACCAGCCCAGGTTATCGGCTATGACGTGGTGATTCCCGCAGCCAGGACACTTCACGATCACCACCCCGCTGTGGTAGGCTAACTTGGAAATTGTTTTTGCTGATCGAGTCCGGCAGACCTACAAAGCAAACAAAATGGATTTGATGACCACAGCAGCTGCAGCCTCTGCACCTTTTAAGAGAAAAACATTTTATTTGCCTCATTAAAAGGTTTCTTTCCCCCTCCCTGATCTCTAACCGGACCCCGGCGGAGGCACTTTTCTCTGGGA